TGCCATGTTGCTCAGGCTGGTCTCAAGCTCCTGTACTCAAATGATCCTCCCTCTTCGGCCTCCCAAAGTGCCGGGATTGTAGGAGTGAGCCACTGTTTGTCATAATTGTAATTGTAATTGTGCATTTGTTTGTAATATTATTTAATTAATTATTATTAAAGCTCTATGAGGTAAGAATCATGTCAATTCTTGCTCATCTAAAAATCTGCAGCACCTCTGAACCTGGCACATAATAGATGCTCAATAGATGTTTGTTGTTTGTTGTTTTTGTTTTTTGGTTTTGTTGAGATAGGGTCTCACTCTGTCACCCAGGATTGAGTGCAGTGGTGTGATCTCAGCTCACTGCAACCTCAGCCTCCTGGGCTCAAGCGATCCTCCCATCTCAGTCTCCCAAGTAGCAGGGACTACAGGCATGCACCACCACACTGGACCAAATTTTGCATATATGTGTGTGTGTGTGTGTGTGTGTGTGTGTGTGTTTGTGTATGCAAGGTGCCCACCACCACACTTGGGTAATTTTTTGTATTTTTAGTAGAGATGGGGTTTCACCATGTTAGCCAGGATGGTCTTAATTTCCTGACTTCGTGATCCGCCCACCTCGGCCTCCTAAAGTGCTGGGATTACAGGCGTGAGCCACCACGCCCGGCCCTGCATATATATATATTTTATCAAGGCAGGCTTCCACCTGGTTTCCCGGGCTGGTCTCAAACTCCTGAGCTCAGGCAATCCACTCGTCTCAGCCTCCCAAAGTGCTGGAATTACAGGTGTGAGCTACTGTGCCCAGCAAGATGCTCAATAAATGTTTTTTGAATGAATAAGTACATTTATATTACACACTCCTCTCCATCTCTATCTCCCAAGCATGAGCCTCTATCATCTCTTATCTGAACCTCAGCAATCACTTTTTGATTTGTCTTCCAGTTTATAATCAAGTTTCTGTCAATCAGTTTCCCACCCAAAAGCCAGAGTGGTCTAATAAAATAGCCTATCTGGCTGGGCACGGTGGCTCACGCCTGTAATCCTAGCACTTTGGGAGGCCGAGGTGGGCGGATCACGAGGTCAGGAGATCGAGACCATCCTGACTAACGCAGTGAAACCCCATCTCTACTAAAAATACAAACAATTAGCCAAGTGTGGTGGCGGGCGCCTGTAGTCCCAGCTATCGGGAGGCTGAGACAGAAGAATGGCATGAATCCAGGAGGCGGAGCTTGCAGTGAGTCGAGATCACACCACTGCACTCCAGCCTGGGAGACAGAGTGAGACTCCGTCTCAAAAAAAAAAAAAAATTTGCCGGAGGTGGTGGTGTGCGACTGAAGTCCCAGCTACTTGGGAGGCTGGGACAGGAGAATTGCTGGAACCCAGGAGGCAGAGGTTATAGTGAGCAGAGATCACACCACTGCACTCTAGCCTGGGCCACAGAGCAAGACTCCATCTCAAAAAAAAACCAAACCCAAAAGCTGCCTATCTGATCATGCCACCCTTCCACCCCCTGTTGAATAGCCTTCAGTGGCTTCCCATGGCCCTTGGAATAAAATCCAGGCTCCTGACGACAGCCTTACAAGGCCTTGCATGGTCTGGCTCACCTCATGCCAAGCTCCACCTCCTCAACTGACATTTCTTAATTCAACAAATACTGAGCGCCTGTTCCACTAGGCACTGGGGTGAGCAAAAACAGACTCCTTCAGCTCTGCTTAGTCCTCTAGATACTTGAACATACCTCCTTCCCATTCACAGCCTGTGCATGTTGTTTCTCTTGTTCTGGAATCCAGTCCTTTCCCTCTCCTTCTTTCTCTACCTTCCTAACTTTGCCCGGTCAACACCTACTCACCCATCCATCAGATCTGATTACATACCATTCATTCAGGGATATCTTATCCGAACTGAAGCTAGCTTAGGTCCCCCTGTATACACTCTTAACTGCTCCTTATATTTGACTTCACAGCACTCACCACACGTTCTATTTTTACACTTGTTCCTGTGGTGATTTGGTGACTTGGTTTATACCCACCTTCCCCACCAGGAAGCGCCAGGAGCTTCTGTGTCTGGTTTTTGCTTACCATGGTTTCCCTCCGGTGCTCAGCTGGTGCTCCACAGGCAATTTACTGATTGACTAAATGAATGAGTAAACGATTCCCCCACAAGAGCATTCAGAATTCTGCCCTTCAGGGAAATGTTGGCACCTCTGCCTCACTGTGCATAGGAGCTGGTGGGTGATGGCTGAGGAGGGGAGGCCTGGAGGGGCGTACATAGGAGCTCTCACCAAGGAGAGAGCTGAATGAGTGTATTAGTCCCTTCCTGCCCCTTCTTGTCCCTAGAGCGCTGTGACTTAGCCCTGCCCACCTCTCCAACCCCACCTAGCTCCTGTCCCCTTTGATGCTTCAGCAAGAGGAGCTCCTGCTCTTTGTCCCTAGAATTCCCAGCCTCCTGCATACTGACCCCTCCACCTGCAACTTGCCTCCTGCTTCCTTTCACAAGGCTGGCTCCTCCCTATCCTTCTTCAGGTCCAGTTTAAATGCTTTTTTTTTTTTTTTTCTTTTTGAGATGGAGTCTCACACTGTCACCTGGGCTAGAGTGCAGTAGCGAGATCTCGACTCACTGCAACCTCCGCCTCCCAGGTTCAAGCGATTCTCCTGCCTCAGCCTATTGAGTAGCTGGGACTACAGGTGCGCGCCACCACACCCAGCTAATTTTTTGTATTTTTAGTAGAGATGAGGTTTCACCAAGTTGGCCAGACTGGTCTTGAACTCTTGACCTCACAATCCATCCGCCTCAGCCTCCCAAAGTGCTGGGATTACAGGCACGAGCCACTGTCAAAGTGCTGGGATTACAGGCATGAGCCACCGTGCCTGGCCTAAATGCTGCCTTTTTTTTGAGACGGAGTCTCGCTCTGTCGCCCAGGCTGGAGTGCAGTGGCCAGATCTCGGCTCACTGCAAGCTCCGCCTCCCGGGTTCACGCCATTCTCCTGCCTCCGCCTCCCGAGTAGCTGGGACTACAGGCGCCCGCCACCTCGCCCGGCTAGTTTTTTTTTTGTATTTTTTAGTAGAGACGGAGTTTCACCGTGGTAGCCAGGATGGTCTCGATCTCCTGAACTCGTGATCTGCCCACCTTGGCCTCCCAAAGTGCTGGGATTACAGGCTTGAGCCACCGCGCCCCGCCGAGAAAGAGTGTTGCTCTGTCGCCCAGGCTGGAGTGCAGTGGCATGATCTCAGCTCACCACAACCTCTGCCTCCCGGGTTCACGCCATTTTCCTGCCTCAGCCTCCCGAGAAGCTGGGACTACAGCCAGGATGGTCTCAATCTCCTAACCTTGTGATCCATCTGCCTCGGCCTCCCAAAGTGCTGGGATTACAGGCATGAGCCACCACGCCCGTCCTGCTTTTGTTTTTTAAGATAGGGTCTCACTGTTGCCCAGGATGGAGTGCAGTGGCACAATCACGGCTCACTGCAGGCTTGACTTCCCAGGCTCAGATGGTTCTCCCACTTCAGCCTCCCGAGTAGCTGGAATTACAGGCATGTGCCACCAACCTGGCTAATTTTTGTGTTTTTGTTAGAGATGGGGTTTCACCATGTTGCTTAGGCTGGTCTTGGAACTCTTGGAACTGAAGCAATCCACTGGCCTTGGCCTCCCAAAGTGCTGGCATTACAGGCATGAGTGCAGTGGTTTTTTTTTTGTTTTTTTTTTTTTTTTTGAGATGGAGTCTCACTCTGTCGCCCAGGCTGGAGTGCAGTGGCCGGATCTCAGCTCACTGCAAGCTCCACCTCCCGGGTTTATGCCATTCTCCTGCCTCAGCCTCCCAAGTAGCTGGGACTACAGGCGCCCGCCACCACGCCTGGCTAATTTTTTAGTATTTTTAGTAGAGACGGGGTTTCACCATGTCAGCCAGAATGGTCTCGATCTCCTGACCTCATGATCCACCCGCCTCGGCCTCCCAAAGTGCTGGGATTACAGGCGTGAGCCACCACGCGCCGGCGAGTGCAGTGTTTTTTATACCTAATCTCAGACGTGACACACCGTCACTTCTGCCGTGTTCTATTGGCCACTCAACCCATCTGTGATACAACATAGGAAGGAACTACACAAGGGTGTGAGTACTAGGAAGTAGGGGACATCATCAAGAGGTCATCACCGAGGCTGATGACCACATTGTCAAAAATGAGAATGCCGGTGGCTCACACCTGTAATCCCAGTGCTTTGGGAGGGCAAGGCAAACAGATCATGAGGTCAGGAGATAGAAACCATCCTGGTTAACACGGTGAAACCACATCTCTACTAAAAATACAAAAATTAGCCAGGTGTGGTGGCGGGCACCTGTAGTCCCAGCTACTCAGGAGGCTGAGGCAGGAGAATCGCTTGAACCCAGGAGGCAAAGCTTGCAGTGAGCTGCGATCGCGCCACTGCACTCCAGCCTGGGCGACAGAGACTCCGTCTCAAAAAAAAATAAATGAGGACGCCTTTCCTGAAGCCCCCAGGAGGCTTCCCTTCATGTCTACTGGCTGAAACTGTCACATGTCCATGCCTACACCAGTCAATGATGAGGGATTTGGGACCATTGTTTTTGGTCTCAATCACAATCATGATTCACCCCGCGGCTAAGATCCACCTCTGCTGAAGCACAGGGCGCCGTCTAAGAGAAAGATGGCTACCTGAATAGAAATTCTGTTTGGAATGAGGAAGGGGCAATGGGAAAAGTTGTTGAGTGGGCAGCCCACAGTGTCCATGACACTCACCCACTAGACTATAAACTGCACAAGGAGTAGTGTATGTAACAGAGGTTACATCTTTTCTGACTATTGCATCCCCAGTGCATAGCCCACTGCCTGATACAGAGTAGATGCAACAGTATTTGTTGAATGAATAAATGAATGAATTCATGACTAAACTGGAAGACCATAGGGCAGGGGTTCAGGACTAGTATCACTAGCCCGAGGCTTCTTCAGTTCTTAGAACTCAGGAGGCCACCTGCTCCCACCACCACCACCGGCTCCAAGAACAGGCAGGATTGGCAGAATTATTCTCACTTTATTTCTGGAGACATTTAATCAGATGCAGTAACACTGATTCCAGGCAAGGGCAGGGGGCATGGGTACCCCTGAAGCAACCAGTATCCTGTGGCCCAAGGTGTCCCCCATCCCCAGACCTGGGATCCCCCTCAGTTATAGTTAAATAGAGAGAGGAAGATCTCCCCAGGGGGCTTTGCGGGGAGGGTCTGCCTCCTGCACCCACCCTCTCCACGCAGAGGAGTCTGAGCACAAGCTATTTACAGTATTCACATCCACTGTACCCCACCAAACCAAGGCAAATACTACAGGTGGCCCCTCCCCAAGGGAAGAGGCCAGAGAGGCTGTGAGTGTATGTGTGTGTATGGGGGAGAGGGGATGTCTGCGCGTGCGAGCACACAAATGCACTGAGGGGCAGATCTGGCTCCAGCCAAAAAGACATCAGTCTATAAGGTGCAGATTAAAAACAACAGAGAGGACCCACCCCCAGGGGCCCAGGCCACTTCCAACTTTGCTCTGTCTTTTTCTCCTCCAGACATCCTGGTAGGTGATGCAGAGGAGCCCTTACAGCTGTGCCCGGATCCAAGGCAAATCCTCTTAAAGGACTTCTGGGGAAAAAGGGGAAAGGAAACAGTCAGGGCAAACAGCACTCAAACCCAGATAGCTGGGGGTCTTCAAGGCGGAGCAGGAGAGGGGGCCTGGCAGAGCCAGAAGAGAAGGCAGGGCTAGGGAGTACAGGGAAGGCTGCTGGGAGGAATAGAGCTAGGTCCAGGAATCAGGAGACCTACCTGTGACCTGCGGAGACTGCACCACAGCTTTCTTGAGGAAGGCTTCTGCCTCTGCAAAGGGCAGGAGTGCCTCTGGTGTTCGGCTCAGACTCTTGTCCCCAGAGGGTCCCTTGGGGGAGAAGCCATTCTCCTGGTGTGCTGGGAGAGGCTGCAGGCCATTCACCAGGGACCCTGGCAACTCCTTGCTTGGGAGACTGTGGATGCAGAGGCCAAGGCTCAGCAGCTCACCTCCCGGGAAAGCCCAGGCTACCCCGCAGCTCCAGCTGCAGTCTGCCTCCCTGCTCAGGGACCCTGGGATTGGAAGCTGGTACCTCCACTGAGGCTCCTGTGGGGTGGGCTCCTCTTTCTGCACAGCCTCCTTCTGCAGCCCTGGGGGCCGAGCCTCCACAGCTTTCACAGGTTCTGTCACAGGGAAAGAGGCGCCATCAGCCAAGGGCTGGCAAGAGAGGTGAGGATGGAGGAGGAGGGTGGCAAAGGGAAGGGAGGTGAGGGGAACGGGGGCTTTACCTGGGCTGGAACCGTTGGCGTTGGCCTCCTTGCTGTCCTGCTTCTGCTTTGAAGAGGAAGAGCAGTCAGGCTCAAGGGACAGCCGGTCCCATCCACTTAGGACTGAGTTCTGCCCTCCCCTTGCCCGGGCCGCAGCGGCCTCCCCGACAGCCCCGCTCTCCTTGGCCATAGATGCCTTTCCGCAGCCTCCTTTTCCCACCCCGGCCCCCACGCCCAGCACTGCCCTTCGGGGAAATTCTGACCTTGGTTTCAGAAACTTCTGACTTCCGAGTCCTCTTCATGATCTCCTCCAGACGCTGTTTGGAGGCCGCATATCAGTTAGTCTCGAGCTCCGCCCCTAATCCTAAACCTCCCACCAGTCAGCCCCGGCCTTGTGGTCTTAGGGCCTCCCAGTTCATAGCAGCCCTCTCCAGGACAGGAGCTGGAATCTGCCCCAGCGCTTTTCCGTCCCACCCGCTCTAAGCCCAGGCCCCGCCCACCTGGCCGCCCTGCCCAGGCCCACCCACCAATCCCAGCCCACGTCCGCACACCTTTCTGCGCTCTTGCCGCTCCTGCTCCTGCTGCTGGAAGTGCTTTTCCCGCTCCAGACGCTGCCGCTCCGCCTCTTCCCGCGACCGAGCTTCGGCCTCCTCTTTCTGCCAAAGACCCCCATGAGCGTGGGGCACCTGACTCCAGCCTTCCCGGCCCGCGGCGCCCGCGCCCAGCCGCCTCCCGCCCGCCCGCCGGGGGCACCTGCTTCTGCAGCCGCTCCTGCTCCTCCTGCTCGGCCTGCGCCTTCTCTCGTGCCTCCTGCTCCTCCCGCCTCCGGGCCTCCGCCTCCCGCTCCGCCCGGGCCTCGGCCTCCCGCGCCAGCTGCTCCTCTCGCATTCGCCTGGGGGACGGAGCAAACGGCTCAGGCTCGGACTCTGCTTCTTCTCCAGCGCCCACCAGGGCCCCCTCAGTCCCCGAGGCGCACTCACTTGTCTCTTTCTGCCTGCAGCCTCCGCTCCTGCTCCTCGCGCTCCCGCTGCTCCCGGGCCTGGCGCCGCTTCTCAGCCAGGAGCCGAGTGGCTTCTTCTCTGTCTGTGGTGCCGGCCATTGGTTTGCTAGGGGTCACCGGGGGAGCAGGGGCTGGGGGTGAGGTCAAGACAGCAGCGTCTGGAGGGGGATCCGGGACCAGGCGTCAGTCAGCACACCCACGCAGGCACCGCCAGCATCCCTTCCTGCCGTCAGCTCCCAGCGGCCTGTGTTGTGGGCCTGGGACTGCTGAGGGCAGGAGTCTCCTCCTTCCATGTCCCACTCCCAGTCCTCAGGCATCTCTGGCGGCCCACATCCCCACGCAGGAGAAGCTGGCTTCTCTCGCTAGGCTCACCCCTCCCCTCTCTTCATGCCTACCTGCAGGGGTCTCCGCGGGGGGCTGCTCCTTCTGGGGCGGGGATGGGGTGGGCGAGGGCGCCGGAGAAGGTGCCGGTGAGGCTGGGGCTGCTGGCTCCTTCTCGTCACTGGCCCTGAACTTGCTCTGGCTCTTGTCCTCGGGCCCTGCGGCGCTGGGGCTCTCCTTTGCCTCCTCCTTCCTCCGAACCCGCCCTTTGGGGGATGCAGTGGTGCCTCGCGGGGACGGTGGCTTTGGAGGCAGAGTGTGGCCTGGCCCTGGGCTGGGGCAGGGGGAGGCAGGCCTGTGCCAGGATGTGGAGGGAGAGGATGGCCGGGCCTTGGATTTGGGGCTAAGAGAAAAGGGAAAAGGGAAGAGTTAGGAGACACACACACCCACACGCTGAGAACTTGTCCCTTCCTCTGGGAGGTGCCCCCTCCTCCAGCCTACATCAGCACCGCTCCCCCTTGCTCTCACAGAAACGCACCATTCCCTTTTAGATTATATACCCCAGTTTGTAATGACATATGTTTCTGTGGGATTGACTATTGTCTGTGCCCCACCAATAGCCTGTAAGTTTAATAAGAGAAAAAAACCACGCCTGGGTTAGCTCAGCAACGTGTCCTCAGCACCATGAGTGCTACCTGGAAGGTCCATTCATTCAGCAGGTTTTGTTGTTTTTAAGACAGAATCTGGCTGTCCCCCAGGCTGGAGTGCAGTGGCATGATCATACCTAGCTCACTGCAGCCTCGACCTCCTGGGTTCAAACAATCCTCCCCTTGGCCTCCCAAAGTGTTGGGATTACAGGCGTGAGGCACTACTCTTGCCTTCAGTAGGCATTCACGGAGTGGTTACCAGGTGCCAGGCACTGTTTTAGATGATGCGGTACTTCAGTAACCAAAATACTTAAAAAAAAGAAAAAGAGGCCGGGCGCGGTGGCTCAAGCCTGTAATCCCAGCACTTTGGGAGGCCGAGACGGGCGGATCACGAGGTCAGGAGATCGAGACCATCCTGGCTAACACGGTGAAACCCCGTCTCTACTAAAAAATACAAAAAACTAGCCGGGCGAGGTGGCGGGCGCCTGTAGTCCCAGCTACTCGGGAGGCTGAGGCAGGAGAATGGCGTAAACCCGGGAGGCGGAGCTTGCAGTGAGCCGAGATCGCGCCACTGCACTCCAGCCTGGGTGACAGAGCCAGACTCCGTCTCAAAAAAAAAAAAAAAAAAAAGGAAAAAAAGAAAACAATTAAAAAAAATGGAGGCTGGGCGAGGTGGCTCACACTCACACGTGTAATCCCAGCACTTTGGGAGGCCGAGACAGGTGGATCACCTGAGCTCAGGAGTTCGAGATAAGCCTGCACAACGTGGTGAAACCTCCCTCTACCAAAAAACACAAAAAATTAGCTGGGTGTGGTGGCGTGCCTGTAGTCCCAGCCACTTGGAAGGCTGAGGTGGGAGGATAGCTTGAGCCCGGGAGGTCGAGGCTGCAGTGAGCCGAGACTGTGCTGCTGCACTCCAGCCTGGGTGACAGAGGGAGACCCTGTCTCAAACAAACAAAAAAACAGAGAGAACTTTGCCCTCAAGGAAATTGCATTCTAGAGGTGGGATGCCCAATAAATATTTGTGAGTGATGAATAAATGACCCGGTGAGGGGCAGGGTCCCTCGCACCGCCTGCGCCCACCTGAGCTCTGAGGCGGCGCTGGCGGAGAGGCGGGTGCGCGGTGAGGCGGGCAGCGACTGGCGCTTCTTGAGGCTGCGCTCCCGGGCTAGTGCACTCTTCTCCTTCTCGTTTTCCCGCTCCTTGTCCTTCTTCTCCTTTTTCTGCACCTGGCAGGGAAGAAGGAACGGAAGAGGAGAGTAGAGGTCAGCAGCGCCCGCGTTCCCCAGTTCCAGGCTGCCTGTCCCACCTGCGCGACCGCTCGAACCAGTCGAGCCACTCACCGGCGAGGCCTCCGGCCGGCGGCGCACCGGAGCGGGGCTGCCCCCGGCGCTGGGCTTGCGGCGCTCCCCGCGCTCACCGGCGGGGGCGCAGCGGTGCACGCTTCGGGGGGCGCTGCACGGCGTCAGAGGGCTGGCGGAGGCCGAGCGCGGGCACACCGGCACGGCTGCAGAGGGATGAGTGCGGTCGGGTTGCGGCCCGCGCGCCAGGATGGCCCCTGCCCGGCCCCACGTAGGGCCTCTCCCAGGGTCGCAGCCCCTACCCTGGTCCCGGCCGTTGCGGGGCAGTGTGACCGCGCTGCGACTCCGAGCAAGGAAGGAGAGGGTGGGCGTCATCAGACGATCCACGATGCTGCTCTCCCATGCGCTCAGCTGCAGGCTGCGATCTGGGGGTAGAAGGCCAGGTGAAGCCGGTCACTGTGGGGGCCGCAGGAGGCAGGGAGAGGCATGGGGGCAGACCAGGCACCATCCCCATGCCAAGGCCAAGGCTGCTCACCCGGGAGGCCTCTCCCCACAATCACACCGGGGCCACACTTGTCCTCCCTACGATCTGGACTTCCACTGCAGACCCAGGCAACCAGACACTTCCCAGGGCAACATCCTGCATCAGATGAGGGTCCCTGCCTACAACGGTCCCCAGGTGAAAGGGCCCTGAACCGTGCATATAGGAAGGAGCCATCCAGGATTGGAAGAAGACCCAATTGCCCTCTGCCATGTCCCAGTGTAAGGTCTTGCCCCTCCTGCTCTCAGAGGGCTGACCCAGCTGAAGCTGTCCCATGGATTTGGGACAGTGAGGGTCGTTGTGCTCCTGTGACCCAGCTTTTAGCAGTCCTGTGCCAAGGAGACGCTGCTAGGGTGCCTGCCTGCCCTAGGCCACCCTGCTCTGTCCCCTCAGCTGCTGGGCTATTTTTAAGCCTCAGTCAGGTGGGGTTGGTACAGCAGCTGATTTGGTTGCTAGGCAACAAAGCAACCAAACAAATGCAAGAGAAACTTATAAATAACTCCCACCATGGCTCCTTCACATATGAGCACCAGGGCATGGTGGGAATGCAGGGGCTATGCCACCTTGGTTGCCTCAACTCTGGAACCAGCCAAGCCCATGGCTGGGGCTCTGAAGGCAGAGAGGGCAGGATTGCATGGGCCCTTTAGGGTAGAGCCAGAATGAGGGACCCCTCCACCCCACAGCACCCAGGCCAGTCTGACACATGGGGACAATGCCACCTGGCTAAGGTTGGCCAGGCCAGCTGGCTGTGGTTGCAGAAAAGGCTGCCTGCCTGTCCCCACCCCCAGCCACCACCTCCAACTTGCTCTTGAGGCCCCTGCCAGACTTCCTGCCCTCTGAGGCATTGTGCTTTGTCTCCCTTCTCCTCTCCTACAGGGCAACCTCTGTCCTCAGGGTCCAGACCCATATGCCGGCTCCCCCGAGGGGCACAGAGCCCTGGGTAAGGTAGAGTGGGGATGGGGACCTGGAGTATGTGAGGGCTCCAGGGACCTGGTGTTCTTGCTGAGCTCTGGAGGAAACTTGGTGGGAGCTACAAGGGGCTCTGGAGGGGGAAGGGCTGGGCCTTCTCTTACTTCTACTGGGGGAGTTCCAGAGCGTGGCAGAGGACTTTGAGAGCCGCTTGTTGATTATAGAGTCCACGTGTTTGGGCAGGTTAACTGCCGACACGGAGCACCTGCTCCCACCTGGAGGGGAAAAGACACGGCATTAGGGCCGGGCCAGGCAGGAGCCAGTGGGGGGCACCGAGGCCTTCCATGCAGGATGCTCCAAGGGCAGGGTGGGAGAGGGAGGAGTGGGCAGGCTAGGATGAGGAGCAGGAGGCAGCCTTGGCCCTGGGAGAGGGAGGGTGGCAGGTAGGTGACCAGAGACAACCTGGCTTGGGGGAGCCGACGGAGAAGAAACAAAGGGGGGAGATGAGTAAAACTAGAGAAACTACAGCTTTCCTGGCCAGACCAAGGAAGCCATTCCTTATGGCTGGGTACTGCAACCTCCCCATAACCCCCCAGCACTGGCACTTGCTGACACTGCCCAGCCAACGCATTACGGATACAACACCCATGTACTGGGATAAATGCAAAAACGCTCCTAAACAGGACCTACACAGTCACAGTCACTTGCACAAATCCACGTATTCATCCAGAATCACAAAAAGACATGCAGATACAGGCATATAGAGTGGCAGATACTTTGGCATGCACACATGTGTGCAGACATGCACAGGGACAGAGACACAAACACTAACAGATAGTGTGTCAGACCCAGATGCACACAAGCCACAAACACATCGAAGCAACCTCATCATGACATTTGTAGCAGCTCACATTTGTTGATGCTTACCATGTGCCAGGTACTGTGTGGGGCACCACACACATGTGACCTCATTTGATCCTTCAAACATCTATCTACCACCTCAGGGGCAAGTAGTAGCATTATCCCCAGTTTATAGATGAAGAAAGTGAGACTTCAAGAAGTTAAAGGTCGCGCTGCAAGTGCCAGAGCTGGAACCCAAGTCTGTCTTGACTTAGGAGCCCTCACTGAGGTACACAAGTCCACAAACACGCCAAGGCAAACATATATTAAGACACACAATGCACGGGTCCAGGAGCACATACACCGAAGATACACAGCTAGAAATACTGAAACTTGCCATTGCATAAAGACATCCAAGCACAGTGGTACATACATGCCAGCACAGAATCAGACCAAAATCCATGGTGGCCCTACGTGGAGAAAACTCAGAGACAAAAATCTACCTTCTGAGACAAGGAGTGACAGTTTCTTTAAGATCCAGTGTCTGTAGGGCATTAAAGTCTTTTATGTATCAACAACTAATAATAATTGACAGGCGCAAAGAAGGCTAATCCTAAAATGACAGAGGTTTGAAGAGCAAACCAAATGGAGAGAATCCTTCTCTGATTTGATAGTGGAAGTCCTTGGAAAGGGACAGTTTGGCTTACGGACCATTCTAGAAGACACAAGTCACATAAAGCAAGGCACACCTGCTGCAGGGAGCCACCAGCTCTTTGTAGGGAAGTTGTTCCCTTCCTTTACTTGCCATCCCAGCCTTGCCCACCCACTCCCCAGCCCCTCCAGCCTACTCACTGGTCTTATGTCCTGGAGAGCTGTGGTGCAGGGCTCCTGCCCAGGACCAGCGCTGCTGCCGGATTTCGGCCCATGTCTTCTTCACTGACCGTTGGATGGCTGCTTCATAGCGCTCCTGGGGGAAGGTGGGGAGAAGAGAGATGTGGACTGAAAACATTCATTGAATTTGGGATAGAGGCCCTTCTTCCTCCTGTGTCAATGCCTCCCCCACTCCCTTCCCTCCGAGTCTTTTCCTGACTCATTGCAGGTATCCAAGGTTACTAAATCCTTGCTATGATTAAGGACCAAGATCCCTTTCGACTTGTTCTTGGGGAGCTTCTCACTGTTCTTGAGTCATTTCCTGAGTGTATGAGTTGCTTCTCTGATGATTTGGTGGGACTCTCCCTACCTGGGGCTCCCAGGCAAGGCCGTATCTCAGGCACTGAGGGTCCTGACCTTGGGGCTATGTGTTCCCTCTAGCCTGAGGCCCCCCACGTAGGGCCAGGTGGCCATTTCCTTCATTTCCTCACCAGCACTCAAGCTAGGGCTTTACCCACATGACAGAGCTAGGCACGCTCACACAGACGCATACCTGCAGACACACAAACAGACGCATGGGGCACACGGACGAACACAGGTACTGACAGTAAACAGTTACAGGGGCCTACAGTGGCACATTCAGAAGCAAATGTACCTGCAGTTGCATAGGTCCCCAGATATTCTAACACAGGGACACAACTGTAGATGTGAACACAAATAGGACCACGTAGACACAGATAATGCAGAGCCGTGAACATGGATATGCATACACACTGCACCAGTTTGCAGACAGTGAGCACACGTGTACACGGATTCATGGAGACCCATGCCGCACCTTGTTTTTCTCGAGCTTCTGCCGCTGCCGTTCCTCCAGGGCTGCACGACGTTGCTCGGCTTTAAGACGTTGCTCCTCCAGCCGGCGCCGGCGCTCCTGGAGCTGCTTCTCCCGCAGCGCCTTGGCCTTCTCCTCCTTCTCCAGCCACACTGCCTTCTTGGCCGCTGTGGACAAAGGAGCCCAGTGGCATGTGAAGGGTTCTGCAGCAGGCCTGGGCCAAGGACATTTCCTCCAAGTGGCCAGCCCTGCTACCCACATCCTGGGTGGGTTTTTCTCCTGCCTGCTTAGGTGGAGCTTTCAGTCTGAGACAACCCCCTCAAACTGAGAGGCTTACTGAAGACAGGACTCAGGAGAGGCCTATTTCTCCTCCATTGGCCTTATGGGCTCTCAGGATTGAAGGAGAAATGAATGCTTTAGTGCAAGATCCCCATCTGACTTGGGGGGCTACCAGACAGAGGTCCACATACTGTGATTAAGAGCATGCATGAGATCTGGGGTGACAGGAGGCTTCTGGGTCTGAATCTCAGCTACTGTACTAGCTGTGTGGCTTAAGCAAATGATTTCATCTCTCTGAGCCTCTGTTTCCTCCTCAAAATGGGTTGAGGATTAAATTAGATAATGCGTGTCCTGCTCTTAGCACAGTGCACATAATTAAGTGTTGCAGAAGTGTTGGTATTATTATTATTATTTTTTTCAGACGGAGTTTCGCTCTTGTTGCCCAGGCTGGAGTGCATTGGCGCAATCTCGGCTCACCACAACCTCCGCCTCCCAGGTTCAAGTGATTCTTCTATCTCAGCCTACTGAGTAGCTGGGATTACAGGGATGTGCCACCATGCCCGGCTAATTTTTTATATTTTTAGTAGAGACGGGGTTTCTTCATGCTTGGTTCGCCCGCCTCGGCCTCCCAAAGTGCTGGGATTACAGGCATGAGCCACTGCACCCAGCCTGTTGGTGTTATTATTAGGATGCTGATCATGATGATGAAGATGATGATGAGACTTCCTGCGCACTCACCCAGGTACTTGGCCCGCTCTTCTCGCCGCTCCTTTGCCAGCTTGTGTCTCTCTCCTGCCTTCTTCACCTCTGAGCAGAGGGAACAAGAACAGACAGGTCAAAAGGCTGTCCCCAAAGAGGAGTCAGCCTCAGATCCCTCCCTCTGGGCCTCACCCCATCCTTTCCTCATCTCCTCTAGGGCAAACAGGACTCTTTCAGTTGGCATGATCCAGGGCCAGGACCCTGAGCCAAGGGGTTTAGGCCCAGGCCGGGATCATTACACACACCTTGCTTGGTGGGAGGGCTGTCAGAGGCTGGCACTGCTGTTGGAGATGGCTGGCTGCTCCTTCCAGGAGGTCTGGCATCCCGTGGGCCCGTGGCTGGTGGGGTGGGTCCTCTGCTCTTTGCTTCAGAGGAAGGGGACTCTTCCTGCACGGGGGCTGGCCTAGGCCCGACCTGCCCTGAGAGGCTCTCTGGTTCCAGTGGAAGCTGCTTAGAGCTAGTGGCATTCTTCATGGCAGGTGGGGTGTCCGGGGGAGTGTCAGGGACCACGGCTGACATCGGTGGTGGTGGGGGGGAAGGGTCACCTTCTGGAGAAGGTCTTGGCTCTGGGGGGGTCCTGGCGACCACAACTGAAAGACCAACACAAGAGAGGAGAGAGGTCAGATTGCACATCTGTGCCATCAGCTCAATATGTGGCCCTCTCCCTTGTTCAACTGACTTCTTCATTCACGTGTGTTTGAGTTATTTCTATGTGCCAGGCCCTGTTCCAGATACTCATGATATAATAGTGAGAAAATAGCCATGATCCCTGCCTCTGTGGCGCTTACCCTCTAGTAGGGCAGACAGACAAATAGCTAGGCAACTACAGTAGAGAATAAATACTATGTCTGGGGCAGCACAGCAGAGATGGTTAACCTACATGGGGAGGGCTTGCTGAAGAAGTAACAACCAAGCTGAGATCCGAAGGATAAGCTGGAGTCAGCAAAGCGAGGAGGAGAGATCTTGGCAGAGAAGAGTATATGCGAAGGGGCAGAATGGAGCAGGGTGTGTTGGAAAAGCTAAGAACAAGCTTGCAGCACTTATTGAGACACCAAACGCACCGATTTGTTTCCATGTCTGCCTCCCTCTCCTTTCTGCTTTATCTCTGGGTGACTGTGCCCAACCCAAGGTCTGTTCACAGAGGGTGCCAGTGCTGGGCACATGGGACTGACCAAGAGGAAGGACGTAAGTATGGGCTGTATTGGGATGCTTTGTTGTGAAGATTCCCACTGGCAACAAGCTATCCCAAATTTGTGCTTTTAACATATGACTATTGTAGGAACCCTGTAAAAGACATCGAAGTGAAGGAAGGGAGCCACACAATTTGACATATACACATGTGGGGCCATTGAGAGACAGGCCTGAGAGTCAGTCAGATGAGGATGGGAAGGGAGGGCTTGCTTCCCCAGCAGACAACCATGGACAAGCCAGCCAACCTCTCTCAGCCTCAGGTTTTTTTGTTTTGTTTTGTTTCCCCCCAAGTCCGCTTGCTGCTAGGGAATTTTTAAGGGTCTAGTTAGTTCCTTTAAGTCCCTTTTTCTTAATTTTTATTTATTTTTATTGCTGGAGTGCAGTGGTACGATCTCGGCTCACTGCAAGCTCCGCCTCCCAGGTTCACGCCATTCTCCTGCCTCAGCCTCCCGAGTAACTGGGACTACAGGCTCCCGCCACAATGCCCGGCTAATTTTTTGTATTTTTAGTAGAGATGGGGTTTCACCGTGTTAGCCAGGATGGTCTCGATCTCCTGACTTCGTGATCTGCCCGCCTCAGGCTCCCAAAGTGCTGGGATTACAGGCGTGAGTCACTGTGCCTGGCCAATTTTTACTTTTTAAGAGATAGGGTCTTGCGGCCGGGCTTGGTGGCTCAAGCCTGTAATCCCAGCACTTTGGGAGGCCGAGACGGGCGGATCACGAGGTCAGGAGATCGAGACCATCCTAGCTAACACGGTGAAACCCTGTCTCTACTAAAAATACAAAAGACTAGCCGGGCGAGGTGGCGGGCGCCTGTAGTCCCAGCTACTCGGGAGACTGAGGCAGGAGAATGGCGTAAACCTGGGAGGCGGAGCTTGCAGTGAGCTGAGATCCGGCCACTGTACTCCAACCTGGGCGGCAGAGCAAGACTCCGTCTCAAAAAAAAAAAAAAAAAAAAAAAAAAAGAAAGAGATAGGGTCTTGCTATGTTGCCCAGGCTGGATTCAAACTCCTGAGTTCAAGACATCCTTTTGCCTCAGTCTCCCAAGTAGCTGGGATTACAGGTACCTACCACTATGCCTGGCTCAGCCTCAGTTTTGATATCTGTAAAACAGGGATAATAAGCCAAGCTAGTAGGGAATGTCAGCAAAGTGCCTGGCACTATCCACATGCCAGCAAACAGCACTCCCTGTTGGTCTGATGAAGCCTCCTGGTCTCCCAAACAGAAGTTTCTGTATATTGAGTCCTGGTGCCATCTGCTGCTACCATCCAGGCACTGAGGAGATCAATGGGAACACAGCTACCAACTTGGGCTTAGGAAGCAGGGCCAGCATCTGTGGGAAGCTTCATCTAAGGAAACGTTTTTCATTCTTTTCTTTTTTTTTTTCGAGATGGAGTCTCACTCTGTCGCCCAGGCTAGAGTGCAGTGGTGCAATCTTGGCTCACTGCAAGCTCCACCTCCTGGGTTCATGCCATTCTCCTGCCTCAGCCTCCCGAGTAGGTGGGACTACAGGCGCCCGCCACCACGCCTGGCTAATTTTTTGTATTTTTAGTAGAGATAGCATTTCACTTGGTTGGCCAGGATGGTCTTGATCTCCTGGCCTCATGATCCACCCGACTCAGCCTCCCAAAGTTCTGGGATTACAGGCGTGAGCCACCGCGCCCGGCTTTTTTTTTTTCAAGACAGAACCCCGCTCTGTTGCTCAGGCTGGAGTGCAGTGGCATGATCTTGGCTCACTGCAACCTCTGCCTTCCAAGTTCAAGTGATTATCCTGCCTCAGCCTCCCGAGTAGCTGGGATTACAAGTGCCTGCCACCAAGCCCAGCTAATTTTTGTATTTTTAGTGGAGATGGGGCTTCACCATGTTGGCCAGGCTGGTCTCGAACCCCCGACCTCAGGTGATCTGCCCGCCTCGACCTCCCAAAGTGCTGGGATTACAGGCGTGAGCCACCGTGGCCAGCCTCATAATTTTTATACGCATTAGTTCTTTTTTTTTTGAGTCAAATTCTCACTCTGTTGCCCAGGTTGGAGTGCAATGGTGTGATCTCGGCCCACTGCAACTTCTGCCTCCCAGGCTCAAGTAATTCTTGTGCCTCAGCCTCCCGAGTAGCTGGGATTACAGGCATGAACCACCATACCTGGCCAATTTTTGTATTTTTAGTAGAGATGGGTTTGTGCCATGTTGGCCAGGCTGGTCTCGAACTCCTGGCCTCAAATGATCTGCCCACCTCAGCCTCCCAAAGTGCTGGGATTACAGGTGTGAGTCACTGCGCCTGGCCTTATATGTTATTAGTTGTTTTTTTTTTTTTTTTGAGACGGAGTCTCGCTTTGTCACCCAGGCTGGAGTGCAGTGGCACCATCTCGGCTCACTGCAAGCTCCGCCTCCTGGGTTCACGCCATTCTCCTGCCTCAGCCTCCAAGTAGCTGGGACTACAGGCACGCACCACCATGCCCGGCTACTTTTTTGGATTTTTAGTAGAGACGGGGTTTCACCGTGTTAGCCAGGATGGTCTCGATCTCCTGACCTCGTGATCCACCCGCCTCGGCCTCCCAAAGTGCTGGGATTACAGGCGTGAGCCACCGCGCCTGGCTTATGTTATTAGTTTTAATCCTCACTGACAGTATGAGGGAATAGGTGTTATGCAATAAATTATCTGAGGCTCACACTGTTTTTCCCTCATTCCTTCCCACCCAGCTTTCTGGGCTCCAGGCAAGAGCCCCAGCTGTGGCCCTGTCTCCCCCATTACCCCTCCAACTCCACCAACTCTGAGGCACCATGACAAGATACCCATCTCTTCCCATACCAGCAGGAGACGGCTGCCTGGTCACTGCTAATCTATTTCCCAGCCAGCTGCAAACTCCTTTACCAATTCCAATAGTCAACAAAACCAGTTACTCACTCTAGTGAGTGCTTACTATTCACTAACAGTGATGCATCCTGTGTCCTCACAACTCTGAGAGGCAGAGACTTTTAATCCCCATTATACAAGTGAGGCAACCAAGGCCCAACCTGCTAATTGATCCGCACAGAGTCATACAACTAGTATGTGGCAGAGTTGGCATTTTTTTTTTTTTAGATGGAGTCTCACTCTGTTGCCAGGTTGAAGTGCAGTGGCGCGCTCTCAGCTCACTGCAACCTCCGCCTCCCAGGTTCAAGCGATTCTCTTGCCTCAGCCTCCAGAGTAGCTGGGACAACAGGCATTCACCACCACACCCAGCTAATTTTTGTATTTTTAGTAGAGATGGGGTTTCACCATGTTGGCCAGTCTGGTCTCCCTCTCTTGACCTCGTGATCCGCCCATCTCAGCCTCACAAAGTGCTGGGATTGCAGGCGTGAGCCACCGCGCCCGGCCCAGAATTGGGATTTGAACTCAGGACTGTTTGAAGCCAAAGCCTGGGTGAGTAAGTATGAAGCTTGAAGGTTGAGGGTGAGGCCTGTTTATTGCATTCTCCAATCACCTGTGCGTGCTGCAGGTGTTGCAAGGAAAACTGGTAGGCAGGTGTTTGTCTACACCTAGGCAAATCACACCCACCAGGCAAGACAGTCAGTGAGTCCCCAGCTAGGTCCCGACTTGCCATGTGAAGGGAGGCTGGGAGGAGGTAGAGGAGTGAGGTTTGGAAGAACTTGCACCCAGCCATCAGATGCAGTGGAGCAGAAAGGTCATAGGCTTCAGAGTCGGACAGGCCTGACTGAGGACCTCGTCTCCAGGTGAACCTTGGGCAAGCCCTGAGCCTGTGTAACCACAGTTCTCTCATGGAGTTGTTGGTACACATAGGGAGTTGGTACAGATGGGTATATCATTGGTGGCACCTGGCAGGGGCTTGGTAAGCAGCACCTGCCCTGAAGAATATATCCACGTCTCCCCATCTCTGCCAGGAGGAAATGCTTCGGCCAGGCCTTACCCCCACTGCTGTGCAACACTGCACTTCTCAAGGACCTCCATGCTGCTAAATCCAACAGGCAGTTTCCAGCCCTCATCTTCCTTGGCCACTATGCAGCTGCATCTGCCACCGTTGATTTCTGACTGCTCCTTGAAACACTGTCTTTGCCTGGCTTTGAAGACAGCACATTCTCTTCGTTTTCCTTCTACCTTGCTGACTGTCACTTCTTAGTCATCTGTGCTGATCCTGCCTGAACTTCCCAACCTCTCAGCACTGGAGTGCCCTAGGGCTGAGTGGAGGACCTCATTTCTTTTCTGTCGACACACACTCCCTTGGTGACCTCATCCAGACTAACAGATTTAAATACCATCACTGCTGACGACAACCAAATTTGTGTCTCTAGCCCAGGCCTCTCCCTTGAGGTCTAGTTTCACTCCTGCAACTCCCTGCTTGATACCCCTGGGTGTCTCACAGATGCCAATTTAACACATCCCAAACGGAGCTCCTGCTCTTCCCCCA